AGAAGATATATACATGAATAAAAACTGTCGCTCAGTTCCCTTGACAGTTTAAGAGAAGACACAAATTATAAACAACAACAAAAAATTAGAATTAGGTAAGAAATGTCAATATACAATAAAGAAAAGTTCCAAGGCAGTGCCCTGAAGGAAGAAGATTCTTAATGTGTATGATAGATTCTGGGAAAGCTCCTGAGGATTGGTCTAGAATAGGGGATGTGAGAAATTCTGTGCCTGGGAGGCCAGTAAATTCTGATAGCTGTCAATGTGTATTAGGATTTTAATAGCAAGGTTTATGAGAGAGATTAGTCTATAATTTTTCTTCCTTTTAATGTTCTCGTAGGGTAGCAAGGATATGCTGGCCTCATAAGTGTTGGCAAGTATTCCTTTGTTATACCCTGAAAGAGGTGGTATATGATTGGTATTCGTGAAGCCATTTGTTCTTGGGGTTTTCTTTGATCCATGTGTATTAAACATTTAGTAGAAACAGTGACTGAAAATTTCAACTTAAACAGCTGTGTGTCTGAAAAGATGTATTATGATTCTTAATATTTTTACATGAAACTATGTTCTGTTGAATGAGGTTATTAATCCAGTTTGATCCGTTCTATATCAGTGACAGAAATTCACTAGCATAAAAACCCAGTTTCTAGCCTCCTGATGGTATTGTGGGTTCAATTTTAAAAAAGAAAAAAGAGAGACTACTCAGATATGTGCTGGGGAAATAGTAGTGTTCAGTGAAACAGATCTCTTGCATCCAGGTGCTTGTGGACAAATTAGATATGGGCCCCACATTGGATATCTACTTGGCTGTATTAGGGATATATACAAGGGTACTTCAAAAGTTCATAGAAAATGTGTATATGAAAAAAAACTGCATGGATTTCAGATTGTGGGGGTAGGTTGTACCAGAATAAGCTTATCTTTTCATTACATTTTCCACAAACTTTTTGAAGTACCCTTGTTTAGGAGCATATTGAGGTTTGAGTATTTTGATGGATTTTATTAATCAGAATACTTTGTTTCAGTTGCTTTTGGGATCAATTTTTAATTAAATTTATATATATATTTATAATGGGAAATATATTTACATCATTCATTCTTAAAAAGTTTTAAAGATTTCTCTCCAGCTCAATCCTTTAATCACCCAGTTTCCCGGCTATTGGGCCAACATGTTAGCTGCTGCTTTGTTGTTCTTCAATTTACACTTCTCTAGATACACAATATATATTTCTTGTCTGCTTTTATTTTACATTTTTATATTCTATACTTTGCTTTTAACTTAATACAAAGGTACTTCAAAATATTCATGGAAAATGGATTTAAAAGATAAGTGTATTGTGGTATAATTTTTTTTTAATCCATGCATAGGTTGTTTTTGTTTTTTCTTTTGAGAGGGAGAGGCAGAGAAAGATTGATCATTCATCTGCTGGTTTACTCCCCAAATGGCCACAATGGCCAGGCCGAAGCCAGGACCCAGGATGTTTTAGTATTGCTCAATCTAAGGATTTTCATTTCAAATAAATACAAGTTATCCCCAAGTTAGAAGAACCAAATTTCCCTTAAGATTACTTGATTTACATTTTTTTTTTCATGTTGATAAGGGTAAAACCAAACAGTGGCCAGCGCCACGGCTCAATAGGCTAATGCTCCACCTAGCAGCGCCGGCACACCAGGTTCTAGTCCCAGTCAGGGCACCAGATTCTCTCCCGGTAGCCTCTCTTCCAGGCCAGCTCTCTGCTGTGGCCGGGAAGGCAGTGGAGGATGGCCCAAGTGCTTGGGCCCTGCACCCCATGGGAAACCAGGAGAAGCACCTGGCTCCTGGCTCCTGCACCGGCCGCAGCGCGCCAGCCGTGGCGGCCATTGGGGGGTGAACCAATGGCAAAGGAAGACCTTCTCTCTCTGTCTCTCTCACTGTCCACTCTGCCTGTCAAAAAAAAAAAAAAAAACAGTGGAGAGTGAAACCCTTTCTGAATATTTTGGTCAATTGCCTTTCAGAACTACATCATCCAGGTCTCCCATATGGGTGCAAGGGCCTAAGCCCTTGGGTCATCTTCTGCTACTTTTCCAGGCACATTAGCAGAGAGCTGGTTCGGAAGTGGAGCAGGGGCCCGTGCCGTGGTGCAGTAGGTTAATCCTCTGCCTGCATTGCCAGCATCCCATATGGGTGCCAGTTCTAGTCCTGGCTGCTCTTCTTCCAATGCAGCTCTCTGCTATGGCCTGGGGAAGCAGTAGTAGATGGCCCAAGTGCTTGGGCCCCTGCACCCACGTGGGAGACCAGGAAGAAGCACCTGGCTCCTGGCTTTGGATCAGCGCAGCTCCAGCCGTTGTGGCCATTTGGAGAGTGAACTAACAGAAGGAAGACCTTTATCTCTGTCTCTCCCTCTCACTGTCTGTAATTCTACCTCTCGAAATAAAAGCCGTCTTTTGCTGCTGGAGCAACCAAGACTCAAACTGATGCCCACAAAGGTTGTTGGCACCACAGACGGCAGCTATACTCACTATACCACAGAACCAGCCCCAATAGTTTTTTCATAATACACATTTTCCATTTTTTTGAAGTCCTCTTTGATGCATGTATTTCAGAGTTTTTTGTTCCAAAATAAACTGCAAACAGTTTGAAATTACCTGGTATGTCTTGGAGATTATTCTAATAATTGCATAGTAGAAATGCCTTGTGATTGCCTTATGTCTTGTAACAGCAGTGATGACAGCGATACTAAGCAATCATTGTACAGTTGGTGGAATTTTAGGTTATTTCCATTCTTACTGCAAAAAAGCTACTATGAGTATCTCCAATTGTTTTTTAATTACAAAGTCATATTTTTCTGTTTCTTAGCTGGTTTTTTAGGACAGATCTTTTGTTTCATTGCAGCCATGAATCAGAGAATCAGTCAGAGTGCTCCAGTGAAACAGCCACCACCCCTTGCTCCTCAGAGCCCACAAGGGGGTGTCATGGGTGGTGGCAGTTCCAACCAGCAGCAACAGATGAGGCTGCAACAATTGCAAATGGAGAAAGAGAGACTGCGACTGAAACACCAAGAACTGCTCCGGCAGGTGAGGCCACAGGTTAGAAAACCAGCCTTCCATTTTTTGGGGACTGTTTTCCAATGTGAACTTACATAAACTTCGTTTTACTGTTTATTAGTCACAAAGGTTGTTGTCTCTGTAAAATTCGAGCAATGCAGGAACATTCTGTTCAACTCTGTCCTTAGTTTCTTCACTGGTCTGTGATCACACAGGATGTAACTTGTAACTTGAATCATAAAGAGCTGGCCATAGTCATTGCAATTGAGCAGAAATCCCAGAAGACAAGGTTGCTTCCACAAATGTGCATGGAATTATAGATTAATATTTCTGAGGATCTGAAAAAAGGGGGAAACTATGGGATATCACTTGGAAAAATACCATTTGCTTTAAATGATTTATTTATCAGGAACAAAGGATTAGGAGGTACATCAGTAAGCCATTTCTTGAATAACATATATGTTTTAGTATTGCTCAATCTAAGGATTTTCATTTCAAATAAATACAAATTATCCCCAAGTTTAGAAGAACCAAATTTCCCTTAAGATTACTTGATTTACATTTTTTTTTTCATGTTGATAAGGGTAAGACTAAACAGTGGAGAGTTTGAAACCCTTTCTGAATATTTTTGTCAGTTGCCTTTCAGAACTACTATGTTCTGTAAGAATACATTAATCTCTTATGTCAAAATTAATTTTTACTTTGTTTCACAGTGGATAGATAAGTGTTTGAACTGAGGATGTGATCCTATGGCTCAAGCAATGTGGATATTTTTAATTTTTACTGCAGTACTTCAAAAAATTCATGAAAATGAAATCAAAAGATGAGTTCATTTTGGTATAAAAAGTCTTGAAATCCTTTGTATAGTTTATATAAATTTATAGAAATATAAACTATTCATGGATTTCAAAGCTTTTGTGCCAAAATTAACTTAGCTTTTGATTCTATTTTCCATAAATTTTTTGAAACACACACACATATATATAAAATATTTTAAGTAGATAAAAATCAGTAAGGTATTGAAAGTGTAGAAAAGGTAAGTACATTGGAAGTAAAATATTTTGCCCAATTCTCTCCTTTAGATGTAAATAACTGAGATTCTTGGGTTTTACTTTGTCGCCAGAGATACTTTATTAACAAACATAAAATACATTTATCTGTGCTATTTTTCCCCCACAAATCACGGTGTGCTAAATGTAGACATTTAAGAATTATTGTACTCTGCATTCCTGTTACAAAGATGTGAGCATTTAAAGATACCTTTTTACTGGACTATATTTTAAGAATGTCACTTGAGTATCAGCGAAATACATGAACTTGATAACTGTCTCTGAACTCCGATTTGGGGATTTTAGGAACTGGTTCCTGATAAATTAAGCCATGCAAGCCCAGACAGACTACCTTTAAAATGTGTTCTGTCAGTGAGTGTAATCTAGTGTGGTTGGGTCAGAGGTACACCCTGATTGAGGCAGTAAGAGAGTCTATGCCAGCATTTGATATTAGAAAATGGTCTAGAAAGAGATGCTGCTTTATCTGCTGTGAACAAGTTGGAGAGAGGAAGCATATTGACATGGTTTATTATAGCTCAAACTGACTTTTTAACATATTACTATAAAGGAAGGCTGTTTTATTTAGATAAAACTGTATTGCCAGAATGAGGTCACACCATCAGTAGTATAATTACAAGGTTATTAGAAGAAATAAGGCAATTTAAGTATGTTTTACACAGGCTGTTTTCATTGTTTCCTTTTCATTTTGTAGTTATTGAGAACTAGTTGGTATAAGTACATACTAGTCTAAATTTCACATATGAATGAAGATTGTCACGAAACCTTAACAAATAAAAAGTTCTTTGACTGCTGATGTTTGAAGTCTTGCTGTTTTTGAGATTTTTTAAAGTCTTACAAATGGACCATTCATCATTTTGTTGTGTGCTATAGATCAGCCTGGTTTTTTTAGTGGGCCAAATGCTGCTACTTGCTAAAGTTTTTCCTTCTAAATCTTATTCTTACTCTGGGTGATGGGTCCTGGACAGAATAGCTTCAGTTCCTTTAAAGGTAACTTCTTTATTTTTTCTTTACTTACCTACTGTGTTGTCTTTTCTTATGTTGAAATGATAGACCTCCTGTATTCCTATACTAATTGTCTATATTTTAGAACTCCTTTTAGCAATCAATATAAATTTAGTGTATCTTAAGTCTTGGCTTCCTGTGAACTTCTTCCATTGATAGTTTCTCTTATTACTGAAACATCAAAATCATTTTACTTGCATAATACTCAGAAACAAAGAACCTGCCTGACCAATATCAAATTTTATTTTAGTCCTGACACCTAAATTCTTGCTGTCCTATCTACTCAATGCTGTTAAAAATCTCTGAGGTTTCAGTTTTGTTACATGGTGACTCCATTGGCTCCTGTCTTCCTCAGTCTGCTTCTTCTTGGGTAGCTTGGGAATTCTGTGCTTTGGTGATATGTCTGGATACAATTGTAAGTCAGCCTACACAGCCAAACCATGTGGCTTAAAGTAATTTTTATCCGTCTTATTTTTTACTCTTAGGCAATGCGGAATATCAATCCCAGCACAGCAAATTCTCCAAAATGTCAGGTAGGCTCTTATCTGATGTTTTAGCACTGGAAAAAAAAAAAAAAGGATGTTAGGGAAGAGAAACTTGCATTCCAGGGGCCAGTCATTACTGTAGATTAGCCCAGAGTATAACTGTGAGCCATCTTTATACCAGGATACGTAAGTTAACATTGCTGTTCCCAGAAAGGCTGTACTATCTGGTCCTTCCTTCTCTTCCCAGAGAGCTTCTAATTAGCGTATTGATTCCCTGGAAGTCTTTTATCCCACATTTGAAATGTTTTATGTCTGAATTGTTCAATATGGAGGTGTGCCTAATTTTTATTTGAACAGCCTAAAATATTAGTGATTACATGAATTAATAAATTTGGCAATAATAAAAGATAGTATGAATTATTTAGTTGGGTAGTCTAGTTTAGAAAGTCTTTTTAAGAGTCATACCATGAGGAGAAAATATTCTTCGTTTTAGACATTCATTCCAAAGGAACAATATCAAAATTAAGGCGAGAGAAGGATCTGCCTGGATAGTGTTCCAGATTTCTTTGTTGGCTTTTATCAACATTTCTCCCTGATAAACCCCAGGGAGCACTGGTTGTAAAAGCATCTTATTTAGATGGAATGACCACTTTTCTTTCTAACATCGGCACTTGTGTCTAACTCACGGGAAGAATCTCAATTTTGAAACCAGAAGAGATTCTGTGTGTTTAGGGTCCGCAAAATTTGAAAGAATTAGGAGCTAGAGGATCATTGCACTTATCTTGAATGGGTAGAAGTAACCATAAAACATCTCACATTCAGTGTAGCTGATTCTTTACTAGGCTAAATAAGTGCATTGTTTCAGAATCAGCTGGAAAGTGGGAGTTGACAAATTCCACTCATTTCAGATACTGTTAACTTGTCCACTGGAGAACTGTGCTGATAAAGTCAGATTCAGGCCTCCTAGAAACCAGTTAACTTTGTGAGAGAGTATATTTTATTCTTCTTTATCAAATGCCTTCATTTAATCAAACCACCAAGTAAGGGAATAGCTTATAATAAGTCAGCTTCACAAAAGTTAGACATTCTTATGAAAGTACTAATTAATATTTGACTGTGAAAAGCAACATAGTATTAGATCTAAAAAAGTGAAGACTTTTTCCTTGTTTTTTCTCTTATGTGTTTCTGAAAAGTGGCTTTTATTCATGATAAATGAAGTGGAAACTAATATAGGAGCAGAAATTTACTCAAATGAGATTATTTGGGTTCAAGTAAAGAGTTCTTCATGCCAAAAGTAGATATTGGAATTGTTTCTCTTATTTTTCTACTCATCTTACCCTTTAAATCTAGTAAATGAACTAAGTGTTTCTCTGTATTTCATGCTTGAATAGAACAGTTACTGTTATTAAATTATCTTCAGGAATTCTTAGCTTTTTGTAAAATAGTAAAGCTTTAGGAAAGTGTGGGCTTGTAAGCAATTAAAATGCTAAGATACTAAAGTTACAGAATTGATGACAGATTGCTTAGGCCAATGCAAGAAACCTGAAAGAGATTCCTTTTAAAATTGACTGTGTATATAGTGGAGATTAAAATATTAAGTTGTTACATATATTTTAGTTGTCTATATTTACCTGGCATAATTGTAAAAATTAAGGAAATGTAGGTATGAAATTCCAATATGGATTTAAGTTTATTGTAGCTCAGATACATATCATACAATTTATTCAAGAAAGCATGTATATATGTATTTTTTATCTTATATGTTTTCTAGATGATCTTATGATACATGTTATAGGAGCAGAAATATCTAATGCCTTTTCTTACCCATAATGAGGATCATGACTGACACTCCTAAAACAAAAAGTAGCTTAACAAGAAAAGCATAACAAATTTATTTAACCAAAGTTTTAGGTGACATAGAAAGTTTTCAAAAGTGAAGATTTGAAGAACCAGGAAAAATTCTCTATTTATACCTAAGTTCAATGAAGAATGAACAGCTAGGTAAAGATGTGTTTAGGTGAAAGGGTACAGTCTAGAGGTGATAGTACTGACAGGGAAAGCCAGCAAAACCTGAAGTTAGATTCTTCTTGGCTTCTCTGTGCAGCATTCCTTCCTCCTGAGTTTAGGGCAGAACCCTTTCTGAAATGAGGATCTTACGATCTCTCAGACAAGGTGGGTCAGAGCATTTCTTTATGACCAGTTCTTGCACAGAAAAGTAGAGCAAGGTTATAATAATATTTTTAGATTTTATGGCTTGCTTTGGGGTAGTAGGGTAGGAGTTTCTAAGACTTACTTTGGGAAAGAGAAATTCCAGTTTCTGTGGCCTGCATTGGGGGAGAAAGAATTCTAGGTTTTATGGCCTGCCTTAGGGTAGAAAGAACAGGAGAGATCAGAAAAACACTTGGTTTCTGAGCCTTTCCAGTGTTCTTTGGTTCAAAGTACTCAACATACCAAAGTGCCATTATTGTGGGGTATCATTTTCTGAGTTTCAACAATATTACGAAAGATTTCACAAAGAGACATATCTTAAAAGAAGATGGTTTTAAATAAGGTTTAGTAGTATACTCAAGAAAGCAAGAAAAGGCTTTGCAGTCTGAAAGAAGAGATTATATAAAGGTGTAACTCAATATGCGAGTACCATTGTTTTTCAAAGGTTTTTTTTTTTTTAATTTGTCTTTGTTTTTCTAATAGAAAGTTGAACAGCTGAGTGAGTGCAAGCCAGACTAAAATCAGTATAATTATTTTATAATTATATACCTCATATGCTTTGGGAAGTGGGAAGATACCAAACTTCAAAATGTTTATGAATTACTAGATTAAAAAGCTATCTGTAAGTACTTTTCATAAGATTAACAAATCATGTCTGTGTAGGATTCTGTGGTCAAATACACTAATATTGGTATGGGTGAGTTAACGAAAAAATCCTGAGATGCAACCTCAAATGTTGCTGAAATACAAAATTTTGAAAACTAAAGAAAACCTTAGAGACATTTTCTTAAGTATGGAAATTAGCATCTTAATTCATTATAATGTACAGAATTTGAGGAAAATTTGTCCTTATAGGACTTAAGATTTTAATTTTAGTTTTGATTATGCATGATTTTTATGTTTCAGAAACAATTTTATATCTCATATGAAACTTTGAATATCTTTGCTTTTTGATATTCAGTATTTAATGTTCACTGTTTTCTGGTCATGTCTCTCTTACAAACCAGTGCTCTTTTATAAATTGGAGGGACCTTTTGAGAGGTGGGGTATAAGAATGCATTCCAGCTTCTATTTCAATGTCTTTAGAGAGAAACATTTTTGAGAAAAGATAGTTCCTCCTGAGTATGAATCTTTTTTTTTTACCTTCTCTTGTGCTAAAGGATATGGTTTTTACTATCTGGGGTTCCCTAATATCTATGAGATACAGTTAAACTCTGCAACCTGGCTTGTGTTCTTCTCTCTGATTCTGGTTAAGCCAGTTTCTCTTCCATTAGCTGAGTGCACTCTGCTACCTTATGGCGATGATTCTACTTGTGAACTTTTCTCCACAGTAAAAACTGCTTTTTCTCTCTTCCTTCATCTCAACTAAGGGTCTCCATTTCCTTGATAAGGCCCAAGTCAAATTCATCCCTAAGTGGCCTCATGAGAATTCATAACATCACCCAGAAAATGTGGGGCAGACATTGTGGCATAGCAGGTTAGGCTGCCATTTAAGATACCTGCCTCACTTCACATTCATCTTCCTGCCAGTACTCACCCTGGGAGGCAGCAGGTGGTGGCTCAAGTACCTGGGTCCCTGTTCCCCATATTGAAGACTTCAGTGAAGTTCCTAGCTCCAGGCTTGGGCCTCACCCAGCCCCAGCTGTTGTAGACATCTGAGAGTGAACCAGTAGATGAAGATTGATCGATTATCTCTCTTTCCTTCTCTTAGTCACGTATCCACTATCACTGTACCTTTCAAATAAATGAGAATAAATTTTAAAAACTACCCACAAGATAAAAAAATAAAATAAAATAGTGCTGTGTAGTTATCTTAACTCAGCAGCCAATTCCTATTTAGGTTGACAGAAAAATGATAGGGAATTATTTTTGTTTCTGAGCAAGTAATTGCTTCAGCCTTCATAGAAATTACACTAGAAGTATTTTGCAACTAATTTGTGTAATTGTCATTCCTTGTATGTAATAATAATTGTATATCATGGTCAATCACTGGTTTAAAGATGACTAAATCTTAATAACTGTTGAAAATACTGTACTGCACTTATTACCCCTAAATGTTGAAGAGGTTCAGATGTCCAACAGTTTTAGTCAAATAGAGCAAAATAATTCCACTATTGAGAGCCATGTAAAGTTACCAACAAGTTTCTACCCTGAATTTAGTAATAGAAAATTTGGCTTTTTATCCTCCAAACTTTCATGTTAGCAGATGCTAGGAAAGCTGATTCAGAATCCTGTTTACACTTTTTCTAATATGTGTCTCTTCTCTTTGAAGCCCTAACATTGATTAAATCAGAATAATTGTTTTTGGGGGGGATATGTTGGAAACTTTGTATAAAATGAGAGAAGCATTTAACCTCACACTTTGCACACTCTAATAGGCTGTTTTGCTTGTTTATTAACTAAAATCACCTCTTCTTTGTTGTTTGAACAATGGTTTAATAACTCCTATTACTTTAATTCAGACCGTAATTAAGTACCACAAATTACAAAAGACCTAATTCCAAAAAATCTCTCAGAAAGAATATTGAATCTCAGGATAATGCTACCAAACTGGAACTCCGTTTTTGATGCTACTTTTCTCTCTTTGCGATTATCATATAGTTCTCAAAACTGTTCCCAAATCCATGTGTATATTTGGCTTTAGAAATAATTAAATATTCTTTGACTGCTAAAAGCTGTATTTTCAAAAAGGTGTATAGGGACCTGGAGTTGTAGCACAGCAGATTAAGTGTGTGATGTCGGCTTTCCTTATGAGCACTGATTTAAGTCCCAGCTGCTTCACTTCCTACCCAACTCTCTGCTATGAACCTGGGAAAGCAGGGAGACATGGACCCAAGGATGGGGCCCCTGCTACCCAAATGGGAGACCTGAAAAGAGTTCCAGACTCTTGGTTTTGGCCTGGCCCAGTCCATGAGCAGCCAGTTTGGGGGTGAACCAGCAGATGGAAGATGTCTCTGAAACTTTGCCTTTCAAATAAACAAATCTTTAAAAAAACAATAAGAGTATGGCAGGCCCCTATTTTGAACCGTTATAAATGGATTTTTCTGTTTTTAGAATTGTTGACATAAACTGTTACCACTAAGACAAACTTTTTAAAATATAGATTTTTAGAGTTATTCTCCATTTCTAAGTTTGTATTTCCAGTTCACTTAAACAAATTGATTACCACTCTCTTCTATCTCCCAACAGAACTTTGACTTGTCATATATCATCTAGAAATGAATACACTTACATTGTTTACTATTTGCTAAAAATCAAAATTGCTTTTAGAAAGTAAATAAAGTTGATTCCATAATCCCCTCCCCAGATCATTAATATTTTCATATGCAATAAATGTAATTTGTTTCAGTGTGTTCAATAAAAAAAGGTAAACAAAAGGTTATTGTTTGTATTTGAAGCAATTGTCAAAATCAGGAAGGAAATTGCATGTATTTATGTAGGAAAACAGTCTGATCTTTCCCCCTAAATCTATATTTTTGGAGTTCAGTCAGTGTAAAAGCTGGAACCTCTATTTCTCACATAAATAAGTACATATATGCACACATGCACACTGCAGCTCTGTTTTAGACGTTCTACAGAACTTAGAACTATTTTGTTTTCTTTAGAGATGTATTTATTTGAAAGGCAGAGAGAGAGATCTTTCATCTGTTGTTTCTCTCCTCAAATGGGATAGGCACTTGGGCCATCTCCCACCACTTTCCCAGGTGCACTAGCGTGGAGCTGGATTGGAAGTGGGGCATCCAGGTCTCAAACCAGCGCTCATACAGGTGCCAGCATTGCACCGAGGACTTAACCTGCTGTGCCACAGTCCCATTCCCCATATAATTATCTTAACTGTCCCTCAAATTTGTTTGTATATCTTTCTGTATCAAAAATGTTGTCCTGAAGTTGGAGATAACTTTGGGAAGTGATGTAAACATTAAAAATCAAACAACATTCTTAGCATTGGGCTAACTGTTTTAAGAAGGCAGATCTTAGAAGGGAAGTGGGTGGAATCAGCATTGAGGCATAGCAGATAAAGCTGCCTCCTGCGACTCCGGCATCACATTTGGGCACCAGTTTGAGTCCAGGCTGTTCTGCTTCCAATCCCGCTCCCTGTTAATGCACCTGGGAAGATAGCAGAGTCCTTGGGCCACTGCACCCACTTAGCAGATCTGGAGGAAGCTCCTGCCTTCAGCCTGGCCCAGCCCCAGCTGTTGGCGGCTGTTGGGGGAGTGAACCAGCAGATGGAACACCTCTTTCTCTGTCTTTCCCTCTCTGTCTCTGTAACTCTGCCTTTCAAACAAATAAAATAAATCTTAACACACCCCCCCCCCCCAAAAAAAAAAATGAAGTGGAAACTTGGGCGTATATCCTACTCCATGATTACCTAAGTCAGCTTTTGAAGGATGTGAACATGAAATTAGAGTTAGTTAAAAGGAGAGTTCTTTGCATAGGCTGTCCTGCTTCCTCTGAGGAACAGTTAAGTCACGGGTTTTCCATTATGAGTAAGCTTTATAATTCCTTATTTTCTTAGCCAAGGGTTGTTATTGTGAAAGTGAATGTTCTGCTTGAAGTTTAAGAATTTTAAATGTGAAATTTTACAATTAGCTTCAGGGTTATATACAACTTTTGCTAGTGACTTTACAAAAAAAATTGTTTTAATATGCATAAGTATGAGATGAAGGTACTTAATCTAATGTTTAGTTAAAAAGGGAATTAGTTATAAACTCTCCATTTTACTACATTTAAAGAAAAATAAACCTGTTTATACCTATTTACAAAATGCCTATTTTATAGCAGTAAAGTGATTTTATCAAAACATTTTGGATGAATATGAACATTATTTTGTAATTGTGTAAATCTGGCCTAGTTATTTTAAAAATAAACCTTGGAACATAATTGGATTGTTTACAAAACTGACTTCAGTTGAAACATTTCATGTTGAAAGTTACGTCAATCTCTAAGGAGTTTTTGGATTATTTTATGCTGAACACAATGCCTAAAATTATCATAGTGAGCTAAAAATACAAGTTTGTTAAACTTCTCTTTTCCCAAAGGTAGTTAGAATAAATAGTTTGACAGACTTTCAAAAATGGGGAAATAAGCAAGTTATAGGAAATTCAGCCAAAAGTTAATCATGCTTCTGTTCTGTATTTCAAAGGTCAAATAGTTCTTCTAGAGTGTTTGACTTTTTCTAAGTAAAGCAAGTATTTTTAGCTCATTTTCTTCTCTAATAATACAAAAATGTGGTAGCTTTTCCCATTGAGCTTGTAAATCTTAGCTAATCTGGGACACATTTGAAGTCAGAGCTGTCTGCACAGTAAGGAGAGCCAGTGGTCCCAGCCTGGTCTGTAAGGAACTCTCCCACGTGATTCACAAAGGGACACGAGTTTTCCTACTTATAAAGTGGACTTGTCTGGACTCAGGATCCAGCCACAATCCATGGGCCCTTCTGATACTTCCTTCCTCGCATTTAATTAAACATATAACTTCCCATAGGGTAGGAAAGACACCTCAAGATACTGTCTATATAGTAGTTAAAGTATTTTGGCCCCATGTAAATTGGATGCTTTGGTCCACATCATTGAGAAAACTAAGGAGAATCATAGTAGAAATAGTAATCTGGATACACTTAGTATACTTCTGGTTTTGTTTTTTTTTTGTTGTTTTTTGTTTTGATTTTTTTTTTTTTTTTGATGCTTAGGATATCCAGGAGAAATGAAAAGCATGTATCTGCACAAAGCCAAAACTCAGAAACAACTTACACAACTATCCACAGATGTATAAACAATTGTATATCCCTACAATGGAATGTTGGTTAGCAGTAAAAGGAATGGACCATAGGTGTAATATGATTGCATCTCAAAATAATCATGCTAAGTTGTCACTCCCCCTCTTCGTGGAGGAACGACACAGGACCCTGCGTTGTTCTTTTGTCTGCTCGGCCCTTCCCGGGTTTGCTGCTGGTTCTTCCCGGTTTGGCTACCGTCCCTTCCACCTCCATGGAAGGGCGGTTCCCCCTGCCACTTTCCCCACTTCTGCGGGGGAGCAGCACACCGCCGGCCGGCTCTCTCGGGGGCTGCACAGGTGTTCCCTCAGATGTTCCTGTGCATGTTGTCTCTCTCCTCCTTTATAGTCCTCTTCCACCAATCCCAACTCTGCTACCCACACGCCGAGTATGCTGCTCTCCTCCAATCAGGAGCAGGTCCTGCTGTTTATTGGTTGAACTGGAGGCAGCTGTGTAGAAGCTGTTTCCTCCTCTCCCAGCGCCATATTGTGGGAGAGCAGATGCATAAAATAAGTCTTAATTCCAGTAACTTAGTCTAGTCCGAGTTACTCCCAGTTGCTCCCCACACTAAGTGAAAAGTACATGTTCTATGATTTCCATTTATAGAAAATTTTGAGATCCCAGTAGAAAGAGCAGGTCATCAAAGAAGGAGGTACCTTTCTCTGAAGGGAGGAGAGAACTTCCATTCTGACTACGACCTTGCCTAAATATGATCAGAGTCAGTGAACTCAAAAGGCTTCCATAGCCTTGGCAACTCATGACAAGCCTAGGGTGATTACTGATGCCATAAACAAGAGTGTCAATTTGTAAAGTCAACAATAGGAGTCACTGTGCACTTACTCCTCATGTAGGATCTCTGTCCTTAATGTGCTGTACATTGTGATTTAATGCTATAACTAGTACTCAAACAGTATTTTTCACTTTGTGTTTCTATGTGGATGCAAACTATTGAAATCTTTACTTAATATATACTAAACTGAT